AACTACAACTGATAGCAGTTCTTTATTCATTGTATAGTATCTGCATTCAGAAGCTGTGAGCATGCAACTAGCATTCACAATCACGTTTTATTCCATCTTGCAACTCCAATAATACTGTTCTGATTCCACTATCACTGGCATCAGTATCTAATAAAAATTCATACTTTTCATGTACATGCTAGTACTGAAGCTTCCACTAAAGCATACTTTAGGGACTGGAATGCTTGCTCACTCCATCAGGAATGGGTTTCTACTTTAGTGAGAGCTGATAAAGATGTGGTAGTTTTGAAGAAGTTGGCCATAAATCTTCAGTAGTATGATGGAAGCACAAGGAACTGTAAACTTCTCACTTCGTCATGAATTGAGACCACTCTCACACACTGCTATCTTAACAAGATCTGTGTGAATGAGTGCATATTTTTCTGATTTTAGTGTCAAGCTTGCCTTTTTTCTGCTGCAATAAAATTTTCAGGTTCTCAGACACAGAAACAAACGTACAATCAGACATTAAGACGTCATCAACATAGGCTAAGCATTTCTCTGATTGCAGCATATTCAGTGTAAGCTTAATTAGCCTTTCAAAAGTGGTGAGCACGTTATACAGGTCAAATAGAACAACGTGAAATTTGTACAACTCATCTCTCATCCTCAAATTAATCTTTGATCTGCTCTTAATCTAGTTCAACTTTCCAGTATCTGAATGCCAGATCTAAAGTGCTGAACCAATAACCTTTTAACACATCTAAACATTGATCTGTTCTTAGAAAGGGAAGCATTTTGATGCGAGTTATGTTCACTCATCTAAAATAAACACAGAACCTGGGTATACCTTTATTCTGGAGACAGCTAAGCACTCCAGCAGTTGTGGGATCCTGTTCTCTAACACCCACTGTATCTCAGAACTGGCTATACTCTTAAGTAACACAAAAGTTTAAGTAAAGGATGGTACACATAGAAAACTTTATAATAATAATTGAGAACAACAATTGTCTTTGTTTTCCTCAATTCTGTAATTTCACAAAGTACTAACAGTTTCAAATATTAATTCCATGATAAGATATTCTATGGTCACAAAAACCAACATTTTCCCCTTCCTATCTACTCTACGATATTTTCAGTTAGCATCGATTTCCCCTAAGATAGCTCCACTGAATAAAGAGAGATTTCTCAAGATATTTACTACAAAGTAATTCTTTATTCTCTCACTAACTAAGTTCACAAGAAATAAAGAGAGAGACGGAAGACAAATGTACAATCACAATAAACAAACTCTATTTCAACATGGTGAAAATATATGTTATTTACCAAAATCGACAGTTGCCTTTCCTGAAGAATTACATTTGAAGTTATTCTAATTTGTTCAGATAAGGTCACAAGAATAACTCTGTTGAGATCTTGTTCCCGTTATGATTTTCTGAAGCTATAATCTAATTTAAATCAAAAGTCAGGTTTACATTGCTGAATCCCCCCCAGTTGCTCAGTTTCTAGAACTTACAATGATAAACTCCTGGGTTGAATTCCCCAAGGTGAAAAAAACTTGGATAGCCCATTGTATAGCTTGGAATAAAAAAAACAACTACATCTTTTTTGGACAGAACTAAAACATTCCTTCACATATGATGTTCTTAAATAGTCAAAATAACTACTGTAAAATAGACAAACTTAAAAAATAACAACTTTGAAATAACAGATTAAAATTGCATATAAACAAATTATTAAATATAATTTTGATGTTATAATTATAGCATTACTTTAACATGTTAACATAATATTAATGATAAGAATACGTTTATCACTTCTCAACCAAATCTGTGTTGAAAACAGGAGTTATCTAACTACATCAGGGTAAGAACTGACTCCTAAGTTATCTTCCTTCCATGTATTAACAGCATCAGAGTGAGTGTTTTTTGTAAAATCTATTTATATGTGTTTCTCAACAGAAGGTGAATCTGAGGCTAACAGTATCAAAACGATAATTTATGAGTAACTTATATTTAAGTGTTATATATTTTTCCCCAATAAAACTGATTTATTAAAATAATCATAATTTTATTTTCTGCATACCACTGGTTTTAATCTAGTTTTAAAATTATTTGAGTTTTTCCACTATTATATGCATGTACTGGACATTGTCAGCTTACTCACAAGTACGGCTATTTAAAAACTTCTTTCTACCAAGGAGCATGACCACCACAAAATAGAAATACCTCTCTAATTCTACTTACCAATTTATTCTAATTCTTTAAGATTCCACACGAACATGATATGTGAAAATATCAAACAATATAGTTTTTTTAGTATGTTACCATGAGGGCACTATCAAGAGAATCACTGTATTAATACTACCATGTGAATGAAGTCCTCCACAGACTTATATTGACTTCACTAAAAATAATTGCAATCTACTCATACAAATCTCTCTCTTTCTTTATAAACTGTCTGCAGGGGATCAAACACAAATGTTCTTTTTAACAACAAACAAGGAGAGTAAACCATAATACTTTTTTAAACTTATTAACAACAAGGAAAGTAAACACAATTTTTTTTATTTATATTATTAACAGGAAGGATGAATACAAACATTTTCTTTTAAGCCAAAAGAGAGTAAACAGGTACATACTCTTGCATTACCACTATTGTAAGTGGCATTTATTAATTGTTGTTTATATTTCAAGGTATTTAATCTTGTTCCTATCTTCTAACAATATTGTAACAAAATAAAATAATGATATTTTATTTTCTGAAAAATATGCTCATAAATAGTGTCTATATCAACATACGAAATGCAACTAATGTTAGTATGTAAACAGTCTTCTTTTTCTGCAATTTACAATGTGTTGTCTTTACATCTTACTTAGTATTGCTTGTATAACATGATTACAAGATAAAGATTGCATTTGAATTTTTAAATTATAAGAAGGATTTACACTTACTGGCAAGATTACTCAATTGGCACAAACGATTAGTTGTAGCTTCAATAGATATATATATTTCCCACCCCTACTTCGACAAAAAATCCTGTATTCACTGTTGACTGCAACACATTAAAATATGTAAGAAAGATGGAATTTTTAGTGTCTGAATAATAAAATTTGACAATACATACAAAGAAGTCTCTTGGAAGCACCGATAAAGTTTATTAAAATACGTTTTGTGGAGGCAGGTAGTCAACAAAACAGGGGTCACATAGAATATTACTTTACATCAAAACAATATTCAACAATTTACTTACACACCACCAACCCACCTCTTCTGTCAATTCCATTCACTTACCTAGTTAATGTAAATTTCACGAGATCACATAGAAGTACAAAATCATAATCTACATTAAAATGAGCTCAAATAGCCAGCATAAGCATAACATTAGCTTTGATTATGGAGGTGCTGTACATATTAGAATGACATGGAATCTGTAATTGTCAATATTCATCTGATAAAAAAAAAAAGGTATGCTAACCAGTAGCAAACTAACTACAAATTAATTCGCATAGTTGGAATAAAACAGTTCATAAAACATTTAGCTTCTATATTTCTAGTCTACGAGAAATGTGACAATGCATTTTATTAAATGTTGCTCTTGTCACTCAATAAAGTCCATTAAATATGTTTTACCTTTTCCTATAACGAAAATATGATAAATCATGCTAAAAGTTTAATTCAATTAACAAAATGCATTTTTTGATAATGTCTAATGATATTGTGCCACTTACTAAACCATGAATTACTCCTTTCGGTTCACTTCTAGTACATGATCATTCCTCTTTCCCTTACAGCTTTTAATTGTAGTTAACACAAACATTGTAATACATAAAATGATCTTAGTGTCAAACAACTGCACAAGGATGGTTGTGGAAATATTTAAATGCTTGACTATGACCGTGGAATGCTTTTAATTGTACTTTTAATCAATACCACAAACAACAATGAAAGATTGATTATAATTTACTCATTACCTTAAAGCCAAATGTGCAACTTAAACAACTATGTTTTCAAACTTTAAAATTTGCTGATTGTGAATACACAATAATTTAAACTAATAAACTCCTCCTCTTGATTGTCTCGAGTTAAAAATAAAACACTGAAAATAGATTGTCAGGAAATTCATAAAAACAAACAAACTGAACACTATGTACATTCAAAGTATATTTTTTATCATTAATTTTTTGAAGTCTGTATGTTTTGTCATTAAATCCACCTGGTGGAATTTAATCCCACATACAAGCTTCATAAAGTTAATAATATTTTATGTATAATGTACAAATACATGCATATCCATCACCTCAATAAATGCAAAATTTTGTTGCAGTATAGAACCAAAGTGTTCCTAGATTGTTATGATATCAATGCCAATAAATTACTTATTCACCACAAAAGAAAAGGAAGAGAAGCAACATTATACACAAACATTCAATTCCTATGGAACTCAGTACTTACAGAGTGTATAAATTTTTGAAGTTGATGTAGACTAATGGCAATTATTAATTCTTACAGCAAGTAGAACCTACGAGTATAATGATCACTGTGACAAAATCATTTGATAAATTTATAAACATATTATAACTCCACCAAAAGAACTGATATGCCAAAAAATACAGCTAATTCATTTCTAGCTATATATATATATATATATATAATTAATAATTCCAAGAACCAAAATGAATATATTTTTCACTGCATATTTTATAAAAATGTAAGATAATTAGAAAATGTATTTTCTTAAAAAAAGAAAGGTTTTAGTGCATAATATCAAACTTATTCTAAATTATCTCAATTTCTGGTATTTTTAAGAACTCGCACCTTTCTAGGAAATACTAAAAAAAAATATAAAAACTTAAATAATATCTATAGACAAACTGAGAAAATATGTTCACTAATTATGTATACTGAATAAGAATATGCTTACAAGTTCTTACTACCCACTCTTTACTACCTGTTTACTTCTATCACTAACTTTACTACTTGTTTACTTCCACCATTACTACTCTTTACTACTTGTTTACTTCCACCATTACTAATCTTTACTACTTGTTTACTTCCACCATTACTACTACTCTTTACTACCTGTTTACTTCTATCACTAACTTTACTGCTTGTTTACTTCCACCATTACTACCACTCTTTACTACTTGTTTACTTCCACCATTACTACTACTCTTTACTGCTTGTTTACTTCCACCATTACTACTCTTTACTGCTTGTTTATTTCCATCACCACGAACTTTCTATTAGTTGTTTACTTTCATTGCTACCTACTCTTTACCATCTGTTTACCTAGTTTTTACCACATTTAATTCTATGATTTCTTACTTAATTCCCATTTTTATTCCATCGTAACTTAGTGTTAAAAAATTTGATTTTTTTCTACCTTTGCCTACTTTTTATATTAGCATCTGCTTTAACCATTAGGTTGATTTACATCAATTATTGCATTGTTTTGCCTTTACATATCTCTACCTCCTTTTTAACTTCCCTATGATTACATAAACAGTAACACACATTTTTCTGCAAGTATTTTATTACAGCTTTATTTTGTCAGTAGCATCTTTCAGGCATGCATTTCTTTTTATCAGCACCTAAATTTTATTAGTTTAACTCAAATACTTCATAGTGTCCATGCAAAATGTCACTTTATCTTTTTGTTAAAAAAAGGAAACCTTTTTCACATGCTATTTTTTCTGCCATTGTTTTATTCCAACTGCAATTGACTATAAGCCAAAAAGTCCTAACTACTATTCACCATTAACCCACTTCAACTCCTGTTTGGTTTTCAGTCAGTTACTGTTTAATAAAATAATCCTGTTGAGTAAATTTGGTATTATTAAGTATGTTTTTGATCACATTGTTTTCCATTTTAGTATTTGATTTTAATATCAACTAATTGTTAGATTACAAAATTGATTTGTTTAAGCACAATGTATACATGTTTTTAAGCGTTATCCTTTTTTTTTTTGCTGGCTTTCACTTTCTTATAATTTTTTTATTGAATTCTCTTTCATTTCAATAGACCTATAATTTATGACATCAATGTGTCAATTTCACTGAAAAAAAAAACAACTGATTGTGCAAAAGCATCTAAAGTAAAAAATATATTTTAAATAAGAGAGTTGATATAACAACTTAAAGTTAAAAGAAAAATTAAGATAACAATGACCAGTGCATCTATTTAATGGATTTGAATGTGAAATTTCTTTATAAATTTGCTAAATGCTCTCCACAACTGAATTACTAAGTTACCTCGGCTTGCAGGTCAGGAACCTTATTTAATTAAGAGATATGTATTCTCTCATTATTTATAACACAGGAAACATTAAATACAGTAACTAGAATTGGAACTAGAGTTTAGCAATATACGTAGAAAAATAATGGGTGTAACACAAACAATGGAAATCACCTTTACTGAAAGAAATAGTAGATACCTGGTAATTTCACTTTAGGGTGAGACAACAATTCCGGTTTCTAGAGAAAGGTTAAAGGTCACATCAAAGGCTTACAGAAATTACATGAGAATACCAATAGAATACTTTTAGAATGCAAACAATCATGCATTGAATTAAAAAAAATAGTATCACACAATAATTTTTTCTATCTGAATCTGACCATTTTTACTAAATTTTATCTAATAAACATTAACTTCCCCTCTTTCCCTGAGGAAAATAACAACAAAACACTATCAGTTGTAGCAACATTTGTCTCTGACATATACACCTAGACATCTTCTGCAAATTGAAAAGAAAAACATTTAGATTGTCTGCCTCTGAGAGCCTCTGGACCAGCCAGTAAAATTGAAAAAGTCATTATTCACTTTTATTGGTTGATGGTCATGACTTTCTTGTCTGCATACTAGGTCGCAGAAGCAGGGAACAATCCACCCACATATTGGGTCGGTCAAGCATGGCTTTCCAAACACACGTTTCCTCCACTTGAGAATCCATCCAATCCACTGTTCGACCCTGGAACTTACCTGAAATGAGTTTTTTTTGTTAGCCATAAATGCTTAATATCTTTTTTTTTTTTTGAGTCTCATATAAAAAGAAATGCCAACTTGGAGGCTAATAAAAGGATAAAGAAACATCCATGTACAACTTCTAATTTGTTTACCATAACAACAATATATATAAGGAAAAACTTACAGTGAAAAGTGAGGTAAAAAAACATAAAACTTAAAAAAAACAAAGCTCAAAATGTAAAAATGAATAAATCCCTTGATTTTGATTTTTTGTTTCAAAGTCTTATTTTTCAAAATTGTGAAACAACTTACACTTTGTGTTTCAATAACATATTGTTGCGTCATCGAGATCACGTGAATATTCTCACGCCCTCTAGTTTCTAGAACTATCTTGTTCCTTCATGAATGCCCTAGCATTTACTAGATGGAGTAGTCTGGTATATAAAAAAGGGGTGACAATGTGACGGGAGAATAATGTAATGTGTGTGTAGACAGTGAGTAATTGATCTGCAGTCAGAAGTATTATTGAGCACATTCGTTGTTATAGCGTTTGTTTAGCGCGATTGTTGAAGTTGAGTGTATCGGTAAAGTTATATTCGGAAAGAATAAACCAGTTTTTATTAAGAAAGGACTTGTGTCGCTTAAGTTTCGTCGGAAAGAAGTTACGGAAAATCAATTAACAAACAGAGACGTAACAAATTGGTGTCAGAAGTGGGATGAAAAAAAATGGAAAGAGA